TGTCTCTCTCTCTCTCCTCTCTTCTTCTTAGCCAGGCTTATTTCAAACTGGTAAATATCTAATTCCCTTAACTGCTGCGCCGCGCACACAAAGTCTTTTAGGTACAAACGCCTTGAAACAGCCGGTGTGCGGCGGTGCGCGCCCGGAGGAGGACGCCGAGCCCGCGCGCCCTCGCAGCAGGGGACCCCACTCGGCTTAGCCGAGCCCGCGCTCCCGAGGCTGCAGCCTCCATCCGGCAGCCGAGCCTCCTCTCCGGCGCGCCCCGGGGACCCGCTGCTGCTCCCCGAAGAGTCCCAGAGGCGGGGGAGGGGGCCCCGCGCGGCTCCCGGGCCCCCACCCCTCGCGGCCTCCGACGGCTTCCCCGGCTCTCCGGGGCGGATCTTGACGCTGCGCTCGCTCGCCTGTTCGCCCTTGTTTTAAAGTTTGTTTTCTAAACGTCTTCTATTAGATTAGGCTCGTTCATTTCCCCTCCAACCTTATCTCCTTCTGTCTCTTCTCTCCCGGCCCGTCACACTCGATTTAGGCACGAGTTTATCTGGCAAACAGTTTGCCGACTTTGTTTATTTACCGCGGGTTGTGGGGCGGCTCGCGCGCGAGCGCCAGTGTTTGCCTTTGTAATAGTTATCTCCTTATTGTTGGTGCTCGTTAGGCTCGGCTCCCTCCTCCCTCTCTTCCTCGGTTGGGGGGGGATGGAGGGAAGAAAAGGGGGAGTCTTGTCGGCCCAGTGTGGGCTCGCCCCCTCGCTGGGCGCCCCCTCCCTCGGGTCCTCCCGCCGCCCCCCTCCGCTCGCCCCATCCCCCACCGCCCGGCCCCGCCTCTCTCCCTCCGGTCTCTGAATCTCCACCGCCGAGCGCTGCCTAAAGCCGGGGAATTGCCCGACACCCTCCCATCTCCCTCCAAGCCCCCATTATGCGAAGCTGATCCCACTCGGAACGGCCTCAAATCCCGCCTGGACTCTGTTTGATTAGATTGCCAACCCAGGGTAATCCTTTGATTTGGTGGAGTGTCAATTACCTTTCTCTAAACACACATTTACAGAGGAGGGAACTTGTTGGTTTAAATCAATGCAGATCGCTCCTTGATAAACGTACCATCTCGCTCCCCTTCCCGCCCCCTCTCGCAAGGTCCCGCTCCCTCTTCCGCCCCTCCTTCGAAGCCTTCTCACCTACCCCGTAAACAACGTCCCTTCCAGGTGTGAAAGGGGAAAAAGCAATGTGGGCTGAGGGAAGCGGCGCCCCCCTTCCGCTATTCACTCGCTCCCCCGGAGCCTAATTAAATTTGGCAGGTCCTTGTACACACAATCAAAACAGCTTCCTCCAGTGTAGCAAACGACCGAAAACCGCATTAGCAGCTATCGCCGATGCCAAATTAAATTGTTTCTCACCTCCTTTTACAAGTGTCTAAAACCCACACTTCAGGTTCTCCCCTCCTTCCCCATCCTTCCCTCGCTGTTTCCCATTCCACACCTGTACATTCACTGCCTTAAAAATAAACCCAGGGTAAACACAAAGACAAATCTAACACACACACACACACACACACACACACACACACACACCCTGGCATCTCCCCCACCTCCAATGGCCTTTTTCACAGAGAAGTCTGTGCGAATTCTCCTGCTGGACTCTAACACCCCTAGGTTTTTCTGCCCACAGTGCAAAATAATGTCTCCTCCTTCTGTAACTTATTTCAATATTTCAAATTAATTTTAACCCTCCTGGGCTTCTTACCCTAGAGACCACGTTGGGATCTGATCAGTTATGGTTTCAACTTATGCACTGCAGGATGCCTGAGGCTTTGGTGTTTTGTTTGTTCCTGTTGCTATTGTTATTTACATTATTACTTAGTTCTATGCTCCCACTCTCTGCTCCTGGGAGTAATGATTTTACTCTTTGCAAATCCCTATCAAATTCTTCTGGAGGATCTCTCCAAGCTCCTATTCTGGGGAAATCTTTTTCTTTTGCCTTCCCTGCTCAGATGTCTCCTTGTTGGCTCTCTGGACTGCTCTTTGGAGACCGGGGTGAAGAAGAGATGGGGGAAATGGACGGGGGTACAGAGATGTCCACATCCCTCTTCAGGTGAGCAGAGCTTGGCCAGTGCTCCCATCGGCAGTGGTCTGCAGAATTCTCACAACCAACAATCCTAATAACTCAGTCTTAACAAGGATAAGAGGAAGAAAAAAAAAAAAAAAACCACGAACAGTCTCATGAATATCAGCCCAAGGGGAGCAAGAGTGAGCTGTTCAGAGATGAAAGTGCACAGAAATAAAAGCTCAATTTAATCTGCTTTAAAACCCTTCAACTTAACGTTTGTGCTTCAAACTCTGAGAGTGAGGTCTGATTGCGGATAAATAGTTTCTTACCATGCCTGGAAGCTATTACACCCCTCTCCAACACAGTTTCCTATTCAGCAGCCCCAGTTTTCATTACCAGCTCTAATAAGTCTTAACATTATTAAATGCCAAGCGGACGATAGGGAAAAACGGACTCAGGGAGGGATCTCTCTTTAGCTCTTAAAGAAGAGAGCTCTTAAACCCCTTCTTTGGCGGCTCCCTGCCACGCAAGGGGCAACCCCCGGAGAAAGCATTTGTCAAGAGCAAGAAGTCAAAACAAAGTTATGGGCACACACCCCTCCCCCTGCTCTGCCCACCAGGCATCTCTGCTTCACCAGACCTGGACCACTTGGGTGGAGGTTCAGAGGTCTTTTTCCACCTTTCACTTGGCCATGAAACTGATGTCTAGGGCCTGGGAGAAAGATGAGGGATCTTCAGGATGATTCCTGACTGGCCCCCTTGCTCAAATGGGAAACGGATGCTCTGTGTGTACAGATGGATGGAGAGCCTTCTCTCACTGTAGTGCCTGTCCACCTCCATGTGCGCTCAAGCTGCACACCCGAGGAGGACCCCAGGGGCGCAGACAGGCTGACCCAAAGGCCTCGAGTCACATGAAGAGATGCGAGCGCTCACAAGTCTGTCCGTCCAGCACACCGGCACAGCCACAACCCACCCCCCATCCACCCGCACTCAGACCCGGAGGGCTTTCTGGACACCAGGCCTGCTGCATGAGGTCGTTCCATCTCTGCAGCCCCTCAGAGACTCCGCACCTGTGTTCTCAGCCTCCCCCATCTGAACCTGAGGGGCTCCCCTTCAGGCTCTTGGGAACTTGAGTTTCCTAGCTCTCTTGCCAAGAAAGAAAACCTCTGTCCATCGAAATTGCCTCTTCCCTGGTTTTCTAAGTCCAGACCAGATCTGGAGGCCCTTAAATCCCTCGGAACCAAAGCAATCTTCCCAAATCACGTGTCCTTTCCCTTTCTCCTTTCCTTTTATTCTTTCTCAAAGGAACTTTACTTATTTGTGCTTCCAGCAGAGTAAAAACTGTGTACTTCTCACACACACGAATCTGAAGTCTTTCCAATTAAGTCCAGACATCCCTCTTCTTCTCCCAGGAGTAACTCAGAAGAGGTGACTGATCTGTAGGATTTGTCAGGGGAAAGTTTCCAAGTTTATGCCTCCTGCCCTGCCACTCACACTGAAGTCCAGCCAGTCTCTACTAAGAACTGGTATCTGCTCTGGGTGCCCCACAGTGTCCCAGGGCTCTGGGCCCACTGGCCCAGCCAGGGCTACTTGGCAGTGCAGGGCTGCCTCCCCCTGCAGATCCCAGGCTCCTTGGCAGGCCGGGCACAGCAGGGTGCCAGCCACAGAGGGCTGTCTTTCTTCACCCGCCCTTTTGTCCCAGGAAGGACCCGGGCCACACTAGGGACCATGAATGTCAATAGCCTGCCCAGCTCTGAGGAGCTCTCCCTCGGGGCTGTCTCCCCCCAGTCCTTCCTACTTCTACTGGCCTGTGGGGGCTGGGCCTTCCTCTCTGCCAGTTGTCTTTGGAAGCAGGCTTTGTCTTGAAGTTCACCTTCAAGGTTGGGAGGAACTACAAAGAGCTGGAGAGCACACTGGGCTAGAGGTGCTAGGACATCAACAGGGAGAGATCCGGACAAGCCTCTGGGAGAGACACCCCCACCTTCTCCAAAGCCCAGGCTTTCCAGGTTCCCAAGGCTACGGTCTCCCCGATTCCCTGTCTGCCACCTCCCTCCGTCTGTTTCGGGGCCTTCTTTCGTGGATCCACCTTTCTGGCTTTAGGTTTCTAATGTCACTTGTCCCCATGGCCTCATGTCACCTACAAATCTAAAATAAACCCTAAAAAACAAAAACCCCAAGCTATAAAGAGAAGAAGTGAAGAAAGACTCCAAAACTTTCCCATCGGGAAACAAAAGCAAGTCGGGTCCCCCAGCGGGCATGCAGGCGCTTGAAAACTCAACGCCTTCCTCAGATCGGAGCGAGCTGGGTGAGCTCAGCCTCCAGCCCCGCGCGGCAGCAGTGCTCAAGGTGGGGAGAGGGAGTGCGGTGCCGGAAATTCTCCTCCACTGGGACGCAAGGACCCACTGTGTCTGGGAACTTGGCCTCAACCCCCGCCCCGCCTGCAAACGCGGAAGAGGAAAGCTTTGCCCCTGCGACGCGGGGCTGAGCCAGGCGGCGGCCCGGCTAATTTTTATTGATTGTAGCGGTCAGTCAACTGTCAGGCGGGGTTTCAAGGGACCGTTTAGAGAGCCTGTGCGGGTCTGGTTAACAAATTCATTTAGGGAGCCGCGGCGGACTACTGCAGCCTCCGCACTCCCCTCCCCCTTGCCCAGGTTTCCTATAAATAATTGATGGACACCCGAACTAGCAGCCAAAACGTCAACCCCGAGGACTGACGCACCAGAGTAGCCCAGGCGCGCCCGAGGGTTGCACTGCCGCGGTGCACGACGCGCTATCCTCGGAGGCTTAGGGGCGCGAAGGGGGCACGATCTTCGCACCCGCCCCAGTTCTGGGGCTGCACAGGCTCCGGCTGCCCTTGGTCTCTGCCCTGTACCCTGGAAGCATGGCCGTGGTGGAGAGCGCCACAGGCCAGCAATGCAGCGTGGGAAAGCACGCGCTCCCAGAGTCGCCGACCCCTGCGGTTCCCTACCTTTGTCGCCCAGAATGCCGTCGATGCTGTGCTTGGCCTTCTTCTCCCCGTCCTCCTCCTTCTTATCCACCTCGTCGTCATCCTCTTTCTTCCCGAACTTGATTCTGAGCACTCGGCTAATCGAACTCACTAAACCTCAGAAATTCAAAGACAAAAGAGCAAGTATAAGTTATTGGGCCAGAAGAGCCTGCGCTAGCTTGGACCCTAGGTCACAGTCATTGTGTCCCCCCACCGCTGCTGACACTCAGGCATGCAACGTTTGTGCCTACTCAGTAGTCAGGACTGAGGACAGTCTGGTCACCCCCCAGGGTCACAGCTGGGATTGCTCCAGGGGCTCTCCCAGGACCAAAAGCCCCACAGAGGCACCCACCCTGCATATTCCTGTGCACACCCTTACAACTCGTGTGTGTAACCCCAGATGCACTCATTCACATTCACTGTTCCAAAGCATTCCCAGAAGACTCCCTGCCCCAGCTGTAAAACCCATGCTCACGGGGTAAAACCCATGCTCACGTGTGTCCCCTTGCCCTGCATGGACATGCCTGCACACACATGCACACCACACATACACACACGCGCACAGCTGCTCTCCCTCCTGGGCTGCATGGTTTGCAACCTTTATATCGGAATGCCCTGGGCAGAAAGGGCGACTTGGAGAAGGGGATTCCAGGAAGCTGGTGGGTCTCAGCCCTCCCAGGGAAGGTCCCTCTCCTAGCCGCTGCCCTGGGAAGCTCCTGCCAATCCTCTTTTCACCTAACCTTCAGCTTTCTGCCTTCCCTCATCCTTGCCTCCTTTCTTCCCTCCATTTCTCCCTCTTCCTCCTCTTCTTCCTCTGCCTGCCTTTTCTTTCTTCTTCTCTCCTAACTTTTCCCCTTGTCTTTTTCCATCTTCCTTTCACTTTAATGCTCTCTCTTTGCTCTTCCGCTTCCTTTCCCAACTTTTCTGAGTCCCCGTCAGCCATCATCAATCCTCAATCCTCCTCCCTCCCGTGCCAGCCCACCAAGCTGCACCAGACTGGGTGCAGCTCCTGGGCTCGGGCTGTCGTCTCACCTGAGGGCACCGTGCTACGGTCGCAATGGCCATCCTTCAGCAGCCGGTCCCGGATCTCCCAGCTGAACATGCCTGGATTTTCCCTCTTGTACTCCTCGATCTTTTTCTCCACATCCGGAGTCGCCACCTGCTTCAGAGGTGGAGGTAGGAAAGCAGGAGTGGAAAGATGGGGTGGGGGAAGGAAGATACTTTTAATATCAACCTCCCGAGAGAGACCCAGGTCAAGCTAGTAGCTCTGGTCACCATGCCTCCAGCAAGAATGTCCCTAATCTTTCAAGAAACCCCTTTGTGGCTTCCAGGATGACAGGTGAGGAGACATAGGGATACATAATAACACAAAACCTAGTAAGTAGGAGCTCCAGAGTCCCTCCTCATCACAGACCAGACTTGGAGATTTATGGTCCACTGTAGTGGTAAAGGGTTGGGTATACATATAAAGACAGTCTGTAGACACGGCTCATTGGCCTGAAAGTCTGGGGTAGTCTAGGTTACAGTTATCCCCATCTCTGAGAAACTCAAACAGTGGGGAGCATACTGGGAGTTGGGACACACTCTCTAATTTCTTCAGGAAGCCTAAAGCACCTCATGCTGCTAGATGACACAAGGCTGCAGCCAAAGGCCCCCCAGACCAGGCCAAGGTCCACTGCCAGCCTCTGTGGCAAAGACACTCACTCTGGGCTTGCTGCCTCCAATGGCTCCAGGCCTGATGGACCCAGTCTCCTGGTAGCGGCAGAGAATCTTGGAGACGCAGCCGTGGGAGACACGCAGCTGGCGGGAGATGACGCAGGGCCGGATGCCATGGTGGGCCATCTCTACGATCTTATGGCGGATGTGATTAGGCAGAGGTCGCCCGTTGATGAAGACCCCGCCAAGCTGATTGACCCGGCCTTGTCCAAGTGGGGTGGACACTAGAGAAGGGAGATGAAAGAGAAGGGCACAGAGTAAAGACAGGAAAGAGACAGTGACCACCCTCTCAGATCAGAGCAGTTCAAGCCCCAAGCCCTCTGAAAGCAGATCTCTCAGGTCCTCAAATTTGAGGAATTTTAGTCTAGGAAACAAAGGTCAGAAAGACACACTGCATTTGTCCCCCATCTCCAGCCCTACACAGGAAATGAGGACACATAGGTGTCCCTGGGCAGAGCCCTGAGCCTGCTGGAGCTCCAGCGAATGGCTCTTGGTCCCTCAGGCTACAGCTTGGGCCACAGGTCTGCCTGCCTCTCCTCAGGCCAGTGACTTGGGAACACCATGGATTGCATTCCACACTCCCAGGAGTCCTGACCCATCCAGCTCATGGGTGGCTGGAAAGTGCTGGTTGATCAGTAGCATTTACAGCTCCGTCCTGAGCAGTAGAAGGATCTTCCTCTAGGCTGAACAGCCTGGGCACAGTTCTGGGAGCAGTGACATGCTGCAGCTGCTACCTCTGAGGAGCACCTCTTGGTCCCCTGGGGACTCCCTTTATTTGCAACCACTCTCAAACTTTTAATTTCGTTTTGGGACAATTTGAGGACACCCACCACTTTCAGCAATCTCCAGAATATCCTACATGGTCTTAGAAATCCAGGACTGTCCTTGTCCTTGCAAGCTCTGCTCACCGAGATGGGCCACAGTCCCAGGGAGTGGGTGACTTTGGGAACCAGGAAGACGAGCAACTCTGGTGTGTGCCCGGGAGGGAGGAAAGCACAGATCCGCCTTAATGCAAAATCTACACAATTTCCTCGCAGAGGGCTGGGGGACACCCGGTGCACTAATCCGGCCTCGATCCCCCCCAATTTGGGGACTCGCTGGCTGTGGAGATCTGGAAGATTAGAACGATTTCACAGCCGCCCGAGTGGAGGGAGCTGACGGTATAATTGGAAGGGAGGAGGCGAGAAGAGGCTTTGGCTGCCGGGTTGTTCCTACCACCCCCTCCCCCGCGCTCCCGGTCCCCCCACCTCTCTTTGTAAAAGTAGGTGTCTGAAGCCACCCTCGGATTTAATCAGAAATCGTGCGTCGCCGAAACAGAGTCACTCGGTCTCCGTGGCGGGATATGCTATTAGCGCTCGAGAGCACTCGAGCGCCCAACTTTGTATTCAAGAGCCTCTTTAGCGACCGGCGCTCGGCTCTCCTCAGTATTCGGCATCATGTTGGGCAAATATTGTCCTAATCCGCCGCGCGTCCTCAGCCGCCTGTTTTACTAGCATCGGCTACAGGAGGGTGCTACGGCAAATCCCCGGGCTCGGGCGCTCTCCGCCTGCGTGGCTGCTCGCGCGCACTTGATCACGCAGCCGCTCTCTCTTCGGCTCTGTCTAATTCAGGGACCCGGCGCCGTCTTGCTGCCCGAGGGCCCCCTCCCCAGCTCGCGGCGGCCCGCCCGCCCGCCCACCCCCTGCTCAGCCTCACGCACAAGGGGCGCATTACAATTACAAGAGTAATTAAAACACAAAACGTAACACACACACCTAAGGGCTTCTCTAAGACACCCTGGGCTATCCACCCCTGGGAACTGTAAGATCCATCAGGGGCAGATTGGAGGCCTTCGGTGCATTTAAAAAGAAAAAAGAACAGAAAAAAACCCAGGAAACGGTCTGGCCTTGCGCTCCCAGACCTCTCTGCAGCCGGTAACCCGTTCTGCCCCGGCGCTGGGTAACTGGGAACAACACGCTGGAAAATTAACACTTTCCCGGGATCTGGACTTTGCCTTGTCCTCTCCCTGTTTTGGGATTTTTCGGGAGATTTTCTGAGTTGGGAAACTCAGGAGGAAAGTTTTTTGGGGAAAAATATGTCGTTCCAATTAATTCTTTCTAGTTAGTTTCCAGGCCGAAAAGCTGGAGCGTTATGGAGAGTTGCTTTGGTCTTGAAGCGGACAGCCTTCGTAGTTTAGAAATATAAAGTATCACCCATCCATAGTATTTCGAAATAAAAGGGATTGGAAGACCATCCCGGGAGGGTGGAAAGTACAATTCAAAACAAGCAAAGAAAGCCGATAGCCGGTTAGCTCAGGCAGCTGGGAAACTAGGAAGAAAGAATCGTCTAAAAACATGGAGAGACCTAAAACTCGCAGGGACCTGGAATTTACGAAGAGCCGAAATCTACCTGGAGTCCAAACAGGCTGGGAAAGGCCGGCCGCCCGCGACCTGCCAGGCGGAGGCCGCGGGTCGCTGGAGCCCAAAGCAGGAGCGCTCAAGTATCGGCCCTTGGAACTTCCTAGGTCCTGCGCTCGGACTTGCATCCGAAAAGAAGGGGATCCCCGCGCTTCCGCCGCCGGCGCACCCACTGCGCCCCGGTGACGGCCACCTCGGCGACCCTGGAGTCTCGGGCGGGGCGCGGCGAGCGGGGCGCTTACCTTCCAGGGGAAAGCCGGTGCGCGGGTAGTTCTGCCCCGGAGCCGGCCGCATCATCCTCGGAACCGCACCGGGGAGGCCCGCCATGCTGCGCGCCGGCGACCGGGCCGGAGTGGGCAGATCGCTTCCCGTCGCTCCCTTTCCTCCTGCTGCGATCTATCTTTCCTCCTTCTTCTGTTTTTTTTTTTTTTTTAAACCTCTTCCCCCGCCCCTCCACCCACGCTTCCTACCCCACCCCCCACGCCGGCTGCGGTCCTGCGCGTCCTGAAGCTGGGGAGGGGGGCGGAAGGGGGAGTGGGGGCAGGGACGGTGGCGACTAGGAAGTTCAGACGAACGCACGCCGCGGCCCCAAGTCCGCCTCCGCCCTAGCGGCGAGGCTGCAAGTTGTGCTTGTGCGGGCCGACGCGTCCCGGAGCGGGCGGAGACCAGGCCGGCGGCCGAGGGCCCGCGGGTCGCGGTGGGATCGGGGCTCTGGCCTCGCGCTGCGCCCGGCGCCAAGCTCTGGAGCTCGGGGCCGAAGTTCCCGAGCCGGAGCCGAGCAGCCGCGGAGCGGATTTCTTTTTCGTATTTATTTATATATTTAATCTCTCGCGCTCGCTCCGGCTCCCTCCCTTCCTCCCTCCCTCTTCTCCACGCCTTCAGTCCCCGCGCCCTCCAGCTCTGGGGTGACTAAGGAGGGAACAGGCGCCTCCTCGGGTTTCGGGGGCTCTAGGGAAGGCGACAGGGAGGGCCCGGGCTGTGGGACAGAAGAGGAAAAAGCGAGGGGGCGCGAGTAACCAGCTGGGTAAATTGTGCAAAAGTGCTGAACTGTCCGAGGACCGGGAGGAGGGGGAGGGGGAGGAGAGGCGGCAGCCGACGAGATCTGATAGGTTCGGACTTTGCTTTTATTCATGAGGAGGGAAGGGGGCCAGGACGGAAGGGAGCGAAGGACTAGGAACGAAAAGAAATCGCCGGCGAATTTTTTTCTCTTTTCGAATCCCCAGGGTCAACCTCGTTTTTCGGGGAGAATTTGAACTGCCGGTCGGGGAGTAAGGCCTAGGGAGCTGGGGGTCCAGAGAGAAGGGGAGGGGCCAACTTCAAGCGTCTTTTTCGGATGAAGGGGCCGGATCCACCGGGTCCTCAGCCTCGGGTCGCCCGGGCTGCTCGCGGCTGTCCCCGCTCTGCAAGGGCAGCCTCCGATGGGTCTGGCGCTGCTCGGAGTCGGCGCCTTTCCTCGGGCCTCCCCGGTAGTGCACGCTGTCGTCGCCCAGTCGCTCACATCTTCAGCTTACCCTTATTCACACACTCCTCCGAAATGTCCTCCTGGAGGATTCTCCGGGAAAGGGCCAGAGGTGACATCGAGAGAGGGACTGCGACCGTGAAAATAAACTCAGAGCCCTGGTGTCTGCTTTTGTGTGGCCTCCCGAGGTTCTAAGAAAACCGGAGGGACCTTCTCTGGGCGCACGCTCTGGCGGCCGGGTCTGCCCAGGGTTAGGGGTACGGGCGTTCCTTTCCGCCCAGCTTCCAGGGTCTCCCTTTCCCCCTCGGTGATCAAGCCACAGTCCAAGACCCCTTTCCAGAAGGCAGTTGGTTGTCCCCGGGCGTCACAGCAAGGCTGTACTGAGGATCTGGGGCTACAGTGGAGGGGTGAGGTGGCTGGGAGGATAGCCCTTAGAAACTCAGGATCAGCTCAGGCTCCTCTGCTGGAGGGCTGTGGGGACCCCTAACTAGATGGTCAGGAGTGGGGATTTGATCCGAGCTCCGACAGTTCTGGGCTTTCGGAGGTCAGGGTGATCAGCGGCCCCACACTCAGGACACGGATTCCTGGGGATGAACCGCCCTCCCAGCGGGGCAGGACGCCACAACTGCAGGCCTTTTGTATCCCCGGGGAAAGAGCGTCTCTGGCTCGGCGCTGGAGGCAAAATACAATAAAATAAACCCAACCCTCCAACTCACCCCCTGCCCGCACTCTCCCGCAGGAGGGGTCAGTCTTACGTTGGCCCGGGGGTCTCTCTGCAGGCTGGCCCCAGTGTGTCCCCTCTCTTTCCCTCCTCACCTGTGACCTTTGCCCTCTCCACATGTGACATACCCTCTCTCCCCGGCACCAGGGTTTACCAGACTTTTGAGGGGCTTCCCAGGCATAGGCGTAGGAGTTGGAGGCTTTGCTGAGAACCTTGTTAAAAGCAAGCTTCAAGAATTAAACATGGGGCCAGGGACATGGTTCATTAAGGGCATGAGTTCAATCCCCGGTTCCAAAAAAAAAAAAAATCCTGGCCTGAGAAGAGTGAATGCTGGGAGGGTGGTATCTTGCATAGATCAGGGTGCCAGACTGCTGGAGTTACGGGGTCCCTCCCCAAAAGAGGTGGAGAGATAGAACTTCAAACCCCAGTGGGTGTCCAGGGAAGATGGTAATCTACGGGGCAGGCCAGGGCAGCATGGCCTGCCTTGGCCCCTGTAGGTGGACATATGTTTCCTTTATATGTATGTATGTGTAAAACATATAATGAACATGGAATGCATATTCATCCATATATCTGGTCATCACTGGTTCCCCCTCATGACAGGTCTTAAAGCCCCTCTTCTCTGCGTTGTGGAACAGGCCAGTGTGCTGAGAGTTGGAAATGGGGTCCCAGCCCAGCTTTCTGGGTGTTAAGGTTAGGGCCCCCTGGATCAATCTGAGTAAATGTGGGTTCCTAAGTGGGAGTCTGCCTATGTGTCCCTTTCGGGGTCACATGGCTCTTGGTGCAGGTGTGGTGTTGGAAGGGGTCAGATCTCTGCCAACAACAAAGGACCCCTAGAGTACACCCAAGTGCCAGGGCTGGAGGGCTCTGTGTCCCTACCCCCACCCCAAGGACTCTGCAGCTGTATCTCCTTTGCTTCTCCCACCCCAGGGACTCGGAGCTACACCTTAAACTGGGGCCACCTCGCCTTTGGGGAGAAACCCCACCCTCTGCCTCAGAGGACTCTAAGCTAGGCTCACTCCTGACCCAGATTGGGCTCTCCGGCTGCCAACTCTTCCTTCCTGCAGCATGGGGATCCCGTGGGTTCCTGTGGGGCTGGGTAGGGGGGTGGCGGGGTTGTCTGTTGGAATGAGCGTGGCCATTCTCGCCTGTTGGAGACCAATTTCACAAATGATTTTTGCAACAATTAAGAAGTGTGGCGGGGTGAAATGGCGATTTCACATCCAGCAGGGGAAAGGGGGGTTCACCTGGGGACTGGGACAGCTGCAGCTGGGGTGTGGGGGGAAGCTCTCCTCCTCCTCTCATTCCCCCAGCGAACTCTCTGGCCCAAATTCACTCCCAGTGCAGTCGTTAATCAACTCCAAGGACCACTGCTCTCCTGTGCGAGGAAGGACTCCTCCCTGGTTTATGTGTTGGGCAGGATTTGCCCAGCCAAGAGTTCCCTCTATCCCTGTGCCCCACCCCTCTCTTTCCCCTCTTTCTGCCTTACTCCCTTCTGTCACGCACACGTTTCCTAGTCTTCCTCTTTCTTCCTACATGTTTCGTCTTAGGGTCTCCCTTATTTTGGTTTTGGGGTCCCTCTCACTGTCTTCCGCCTGGCCTTTCTGGCTTCTCCCAGGGCTGTTTGGCTTCTTTCTGACGCTGTCAGTCTTGTCCGCCCTCTTCCTCATCTCCATGGTTTCCTGAGGTATGTACCGGCCTCCACAGCTCTCTGGGCTGGAACTCACGTCCGCCATCCCATTCGGGGACAATCCTTTGGTCGGATGGGGTTGGGCAAAGACCTTGGGAAAGGCGCCCCCCTCCTTCCCCCTCCTCTTACTCCAAAAATAGGTCTTTGGGCAGACCCAGCTTCCCTAGTCCCCAGGAATCGCCCCCTTCTGGGACGGCTCGGATACTGGCCCCCTCCCTGCACCTCTCCAAGTCTGCTCTGAAGTCTCTCTCCACACACAACTTTTTTCTTTGTTTAAAAAAACGACAACAATACCCACAAAAATTCCTCCTCCTAGGTTTCCAAATTGAATTCTCCAAACCCAATGGCAGAGATGTAAGCTGGCCCAAGTTGGAGGAGCAGGACCCCAGGTGGGGTGAGCTCTGGAACGGGGTGGGGGGGCCAGTGCCTTCCCCAGACTGGATGGATGGGGAGTGCAACCTTTACTGCCAAACAGGGTTCTTGCTCCCAAGGGGCCAGGGCTTCCTCACCCTGCCCAAGGAAGAGGACTCTCTTTGTTTCAGATCCTGTGCAGTGAGCAGTTTTCGAAAGCAATTGCCCACTAAGTCTTTAGCTAAAGGGTCCACCTGAAAAGTCAGGGGCTTTGATTTGGAGAAGGTTCTTTGTACACTGGTGGGTTCTGAGCCCACTCCGTGCTGCCCGGAGGGGAGAGGCACTAGCCCTGGACAAACCACAGTGATTCGGCCTCCAGTGGTGTAAGAGAGGAGGGGGTACAGGGTGGGGAGAGCAGATGAACATCCCAGAATAAAGGGCCCCGTGCAGGCTCCCCAGGCTCCCAGGCTGGAATTCCTGTAGGGATGCCACATCTGAAGAGGAGCCACTGGAAAGGAATACTTCTGCCCCTTCCTCGGATCTTGTATGATTATTTTCTTTTTAGGAAGTAGTCCTTTTCTAAGGAAGACCTTGAAATACATGCCTAAACCTGACTAGGAAGGAAGGGAAAAGCGAGTCGTTTTCTTGCTTGGCATCTTTACCTTCCCCCCAAAACAAAATGCTTTGGGTGGCATTCCAGGTCTCAAAGCAGGGAGAACAATAGTGACAACCAGGCTTCCCCTGGCCTGTACTGTCATAGTTCTCAGATGGCCCTGCAGCTCCTTGTCCTGCTCTTCTTCTGCCTCTGCCCTCCCCATCTCTGCCTCCTCTTCTACTTCCTCTTCCAGCTGCTCCTCCTTGCTGTTCCTTCCCACTGTCATTCCCCTCTTCTCATTTCTCCCCTGGCTGCCCTTCTTCTCCCTCTACCTCTTCCTCCCTGATTCCTTCTTTTCATTTTTTCCCTCCCTTCCCCTCTTCTCCTTTTCTTTTCCTCTTCTCAGATTGGTCTGGGGAGCTCTTTACCCCCTAAGGGGGGGAATAAAGACCAGGGAAGCTGAAGCTGAAGGGGGACCCAGACCGTACCCAGAAGCCTCTGCTGTCCTCCCTGACACTGAGCTCTGGCAGAACTGGGGATTGAACTCAGGCCCTTGCACTTGCCAGGCAAGTGCTTATTCCACTGAGCCATCTCCCCAG